TCGTCGTTTTCGCCGTCGCCGACACCTGGGCAGGAAGGAACCGGGGGCAGAAATTGTTAGCAGGGTACGGGTTGCCCCGCAGTGTCCAAGTCCATGGCACGCTAAAAAGCAGCGCCGAGTGACAAGGCCGTCGACCCGGGGAAAGGTTCCGGTCATGCCCAAGGCATCCTTGGCGATGGCCCACAGAGCAGCCGGAAAATGTGGATCACCTGCACCCATGCCATGCCTCGCCTCGACCCTGCCTGAACTGTGACTGGACTGAGATGAAGTGGGAAGGAAGGTACGAACACCACACTGGCAAGTACATACGACAAGTCTACAAGTCGAGAGAAGGAGCTCCCCTCAGCCAATGACTGCATCCAGATACAGGCCGACATCTTGGGTTTTCAGCATCTGGCAGCTTGAATCGGCATGATCAGCAACAGAAAACATCTGGCAGGCACGAATGGAGACGGGAATATCAAGATGAGACCCTGCGCGAAGCAAAGGGAGAATGCACCACTTCTGCATACTATCTCTGATACTAGTGCATCAAGGACCCTTGAATATTCCCAAACACAAGTTCGCCGCCGTCTCGTCGTCTGGATGTCGGCCATCCGTCCTTCGATGCTGCCCTTTTCTTCTGCCCACCTATCGAATCCATTCCAGACCTGTCTTGGACCCCCAGCTTGCATCACGCGGCCTGCATACGGAGGAGACGGACTCTCGGCTTCAGCGGCGCCAAATCCTCCACGCCGCCCGAAAATCTGAAGCCCCGGGTGCCACGAAGAATCTCACAGACAAGCCGGTGACAAGGGCGAGACCAAGACACCCAAGGGAAAGAAACAGACGTCGTCTCCGCCAGAAGGTCGAGACCTCGCCAGCTGCGTTGTCCTCAGTGGGCACAGCGACGTGGAAGTTGTCCGGGGCGGGCGAAGAAAAAAAAAGTTTTCGAGAATATTTTTTGCGCTCCATCCTGACTCCTTGCCAGGATCTTGCCGACGGCCCCCTGTCACTGGGGATCATTTGTCGCCTCGCCAATTTCCAGCGTACCAGCAGGCGGACAACGGGTCCTTTTTCTTCCCTTTGCTTGCCTGGCGCGCCGTGGACTCGACTGGCCTTGGTCTGAAATAGGATTGCAAATTCGCCCTACCGGAACCCTCAGACACTGCGGCGTCCGACCAGCCGGGGATCGCAACTTGGCCTGGGCCTCAGACCCAATGTCCATCCATCGCCATTGTCAGTGCCCTTTCGAGTCTGGTCCATGGATACCTCGAAGCACTCGTCGTCGCCTCCGTCGTCAACTCCTTCAGTGCTATGCCTCATTAAGCCAGAGCGCATGCCAGCCGACCTCGTCTACGACGCTATCGTCTATTTCGACTGCTCAGCTCAGAGGTCCAAGTCGAGAAACAACCCAAAACAACCGCGCAGGCTGCTGCCGTTGGCACTTGCAGCGCGTGTGTACCTGTGTTCTGTTCCACCGGTAAAACGGGTTCGTGTCTCGATCACCTGACTTGCAAGACGTGATTGTCTCCGGGATGGTTTGAAAAGAACGACAAACGTCCCCACGTTGACGTCTTCGTGTCAGGGACACCGAATGAGACAAGTTGAAGCCTGGATACGGCGGAAGACCACAGATCAAGAGACTGAAGATCATCGGGGCCCACGCATCCCCGGGTATCATTCCTCTGCCCAGTCGGCCTCTCGGAGAGGCGTCTGTTTCCATGCTTGAGGCATGCACTGTCATCTCGACGCTTCAACCAACAGTGTCTCTACAAGCACATCTCGATGAAGCTACTACATGCGCGTCTATAATTCGTGCCAGAACCGGTACCTGGGCGTCTTCATTTCATCCAATGTGCCGTGGTATCCTGGGCTGGGATTGCAACCTCCCATTTCCCCAGAACTTACCGTGCACACATCTTGTGGTGCTTCCGTATTGGTACGGCACCGTGTCGGACGAGCGTGCTGCACACGGCGGCTGTCTCTGGTACCGGACAATCAGCATCCATTCCCGGCCACGTCCCGACGTCCCTGCTCTGCGGTGCACTGGCATTTTGATATTCAAAGTTCCACGAACCATCAAGGCTCCTGCAGCCGTGTATTCGAACACACGTTGCCCCCCGAATTCCAGCGGCTGGGATTTTCCGCTACATCGTCTTGGCCAAGTTTTCTCGGTTCGCTCTCTCATCTGGCGGTGCCTTGCCCCGGATCGTCCAGTCTCCAGTCTTGTCTCTGAACTATCCCGTCGCCCGCCACGCATGTAGCTCACTTTACTGCCCATTATCCGGCCGTGCTTTCCCTGGAAGAGAGTGTCCATCCCTTGCGAAGCTTGCGAAGCAATTCAAATGGGCATTTGGGGGTTTTGTCTTAAGGCGTCCCTTGAACCTGGAGAAAGGCGCATCATCCCGCCTCCGCATCTCGTCACCTCGCCTAGCCGACTCCTTGCGAATTCCAACCCTCACTTCATTATCTTATCCGGTGTTGACAAACGATTCGGTCTGTCACCGACTCCCACGCCGGATTCGCCGCCTCGCCGTTTCGTGTCTCTCCTGCGCTGGGCTGCGTGCCCGTGCTTGATCGAGCGAGCTCCAGAAGGGACACTTGCAGATATATATTGTGCTGCCTCCCCCAACCCCCCATCGCGGGGACTACTGAGTTACCCATCTCTGTCTTGTCGGTAGTAAGAATCGACAAATAAGCATCGAGGTATGTACCACAGTACTTGTTCCTCTGTACGCTACATACAGTTCGCATCTTGCTTGCATCTCCTCTCCTCTGCCCTCGATACACTTCCACTCCCACCCCAGTTGTCGGTCTGGCTGCACGCTGCCACACTTGCATCTTGTGTGCGTGCATTGGCTTGCATGTCTGATAAACGCTTGCGCTGCTGCACTGCTCTCTTGCGTAGTGTGTGTAGCGTGTGTTGCGTTGCTTCCTTCCACCTTGCACACTCCTCGTCTGCCGTATCCCTCCCCTCCCCTTACCTCATACCCTCAGCATCGGTATGGTATGGGTTGCCATCCTCAACTGTACCTTTTTCCCTTGCTTCGCTCTCACTCTGTGCTTGCATCTCGAGCCAGCCAGCCAGCTCTCCATCCATCCAACCGTCCACGCATACTTCTCACACCGGTTGCTTGTTTTTACCTCGCGGTAGAGTTCCATTGCAACAGCACTGCACCTTCGGGCAGAGTACGTACCCCTCCATGTCTCCATGTCGTCCGGCCGTAGGTAAGTCGATACCTACGTAAGGAGCTTCCTTGTACGTAAAGTACTCGGTGGCGTTCCGGACTATGGCAAAGTACCTTTCGCATTGCTGCTGCCGCACCGCACACTCACCTCACCACCACTCATTGCTGCCGCTGCCTCTGTCGTTGCCGCTTGCTGCTGCTTCTGGTGCCCCTGTCCCTTCCCCCGGCTCCCCCCCAAGCCCACGTCTTCGTCCACGTCCATGTTCCACGGTTCCCACATCCCCCAGTCACCAACCAAGCAGGACATGTCTGGTTCTCCAGTTGTCAATCCTGTTCAGTCCAATCCCCAGCCAAGTCTAGGTCACTTTCTCTGCTCGCTTGGGGATCTTGTCTGGAGTATCTGCAGTCAGTCATCAAAGTCCCGTCACTTTGCGTATTCCCCCCAGCCAAGCCCACGTCCTCGCCTCCATCCGTAGGTACAAAGTAGTGTACTATGTACTGCCTGCGGTAGGTCCCTACATCACGTACATCCACCATACCCACAGCCCACGCCCTTGGACCTTCTTGGACAACAGAGGCTTGGAGACGTCTTGGGGAGGGGAGGGGACCACGCCGTACCTACCAAAGGTAGACAGACACTCACTCAGAAAGAGAGAAGGCGGAGAGGGGGTCCAAGTACCTACGTCCTCCCACCATCACCCTTGCTTGCACCATCAAGCACCTTTCCCGAATAATAAGACGCAAAGGCAAAAAAAAAACTGTGTCTCCCACACACCCCGGAGCGTCATCTCCCACGCCCCTCTGCATCTCTGCACTCTGCCCCCCTCCTCTTCGTCCCTGACCCCTTCCCATGGCCCTCGTCTCTCAGTCCTTTCCCCCCTGTCCTGTCGTCTCTTGCCCTGGCCGCCTCCCACTTTTTCTGTTCTCCCAGGCCAAAACTCCACTGCGCGGGCGAGACGAGACCTGCAAATCAGCCTCCAGGCTCGAACGTGCCGGTCTTCGTTCCAGCTTCTCGATCCGCTTTCCACCGACTCCATTTCCTATCCTTCCCTACCCAGTATTTTACTTTTTTACCTTTTTTTCCCTCTCCTCTTCTTAACCCTGTACCACCACTTTGGTACTTTTACCTATTCTCCCATCCATCCATCCATCCCTCCCTCTCGGATGCTGATGGCCTATCTCTGCCTTTAACTATCCACCTACCCGACTCAAACAAATACCTACACCTTCCCTCTCTCTGCCACACGCGCCGACACGGCCAGTTTTTGACACCCGTTTGCGTTTCCAATGCTGCGATATCTGTTTCTGCCATCGCTCGTCCTCGACCGCCGTCACTGACTTCGCCTACTCACTCGCCAGCCAGCAAGCAAGCAAGCCAGCGCAACAAAGCCATAGCCAGTCTTGAGCGTCTGTCTACTTTCACGCCTCGCCAGCTACAATTCTCCGCCTTTTCCACTGGCGAAATTCCCCGCGAATCGCTCCAGTCACCGCCTTTGTTTCTTGGGACGCCACCGCGCTAGGTCCTGAGCCACCAAAAACCTGCACGGAATAACCAACGGCCTGGTGTAGAACGAATAAGAAAAGGGACCGTCATCCTCCCGCCCCAAACAGCCCCCCTCTCCGCTCTTCCCTGCCGTCCACCCGATCCCGACTTCTTGGTCAACGATCTACGAGCTGCTGCTGCTAAGAGCATCTTGCCTACCTACAACAACAAATCCGTCACCACCAAAACCCCTCCTCGGATACTTATGATCGATCCTTCTTGTTCCTGCTTAGGAGTTGCGGCGACTAGGGACTAACGTTCCTCAATTCGCCCAAAACATCTTCACAATGGCTGTCGTTCTATCGTCAGAGGAGAACACCTACTTCTCCTCTTCCAACTTGCGTCGGTCGCACTCCCAACCCAAGTTCGTAACGAAACAGTCCGGCTTTCACACTTCCGCTTCTGCAAGTCAAATCAGCGACGCCTTTGCGGATTCGAAGGTGTACCCCGACTCTGCGCCATCTTCTGCTCCGTCCTCTCCTAGAACCGCCCATGCCGAGTCTACCGATTTGTCTTGCTCGTCAACGCCCGCCAGCAATGTCTCCATCGCCTCCGACTGCGACGACACATTAGACCTCGCCGTGCATGCCAACGACCACTTCGTCATTCCTCATTATGGGGAGTCCGGCTACTTTGATCAGGTAGAAGACCTCGAACCACCAACAAGTCCCAGGACGGGTGACTCGTACACGGTTTCGCCTGTCGATAACGACACCGAGGGCGACACGTCTCGGCCAAACACGCCAGAGTTCATCCTTGACGTAGAACACGCAGAAGACGACACTGCGGTCCGCGCGCAACCGTCACGACACGTTGATTACCTGTCGCACAACTGGAAAGAGGAGGATATTTGGTCATCATGGAAGTTTATTGTGTCACGGAGATCAGAATACAGCAATGCCGCCCGCTTAGAAAATGCTTCATGGAGAACGTGGATGAAGGCCAAAAACAAGCTCAAGACTGTGTCGCCAGAAACGCTTAACTGGTTGGTATACTGCACTGCTGAAACCGGACTTTTACTGACCCTTGTACAGGCTCAAGGACTGTGATGTGACTTGGCTCTACGGGCCGTTGCAGACGGGTCCAAATACGTTGAACCCTATCAGCACCGACCCTAACAGTGCCAGGCTGACGAAGAACAACTCTTTCGTCAACAAAAAGCCTATCCTCAAGAAGAGGAGCATGTCGGAGATCATGCTGCAGAGGTCACTTTCCGCTTCCTCCCTGATCAAGCAGGCCGCTGCAGCCGTCCAGGCCCAGGAGAAGGACGGCAGGAGACGACTCGCACGACCGACTTTGGAGCGTGCCTCAACCGACTACGTCACATTCCCATTTTCGTCAAGGAGGTTGAGCCGCGAGAGCTCAAATCTGTGCCCGTCCAGCACCTCGTCTGGCATTATCTCACCTAGCAGTGAGAAGAGGCACATCCACTTCAACGAGCAGGTGTCTCAGTGTATTGCGGTTGATATAAAGGGTGATGACGACGAAGATGAGGATGCCGACACGGAACGTTACGACAACAGCGACTCGGATGAAGGCGCCATCATGATGAAGAGGTCCAAGACCAAGAAGAAGATGCCTCTCATTAGGAAAAAATCGGCAAAGGCAGCTGCCGCTGCTGAGGGCAAGACGATCGCCATGCTTCCGTCTACGACATTGAAGTACCGAGAAGATACGCCTGAACCACAAGAGACGGCAATGAAGCACAGCACCGGCGTCTACCGAAGCCCCATCATGTCGCCCTCATCTTCCCAAGAAACACTCCGACCATCAAAAGGATCTGGAAAGTTTTTGTTCGACGACGATGATGAGGAGGAGGATGATGCTCCCATGGGCTGGCAATCACCAACCAAGACCGACGACAAGTCAACGGGCTTACAGCGATCATCGTCCACCAGCAGTCTGAACGCCGAACCGGCTGGCATGCGTAGGACCTCGTCAGGTATGTTCATGCCATATGAAGAGGGGGAATCATCTTCCAACGAAGGCATCATCGGCCGGGTCATTGATACAGTTAATACAGCCCGCGACATTGCTCATGTTATTTGGAACGTGGGTTGGAGGAAGTGAAGAGGTCAGCCAAGGATGGTCTCGGATTCTCAATCGATGAACAACAACCCGGCACGACGGCCGTCACCAGTGGATGTACGATACGGAGGAAGTTGGCGCTTCAGACACTGTGGCGGGGATATAATCGGCTCATACAAGGCCACGGATTCCGACGTAATGACACCATCGAGGGAATTTTCACGCAGCGGATCATCACTACTGGTCACGGGATCGACATGGATGGGAAACGGGTTAGGCATCGGCGCTTCGGCACAGCGAACATTTGGAACGGGCTGGTTACTGCCCTCGACACGTTTGCAACTGGAATGTTGCGTGGGGGTCTAATGACAACACACGGAATCACGCATGTAACAATTTTAGGAGGGATTTGGGGAAAACTTGGTTGGTCATTGTCATCATGAACTGGCACGTGATTTGGGTCCAGGGAACCAGGGTTTTCAGCACCGGCGTCTTGGAAAGAGGGCGGAGAACAAAAGAAAACGATTTGTTTCACAACACAAGAGCTGGTTGGGTCTCATCGGGAACGCTTCCACAGGGTGCTCACGCTAGCGTGGTTGCTGATCTGGGGTCTCTGCATGTCATGTCTCACGCTCAGGCTTGCGTGACCGTGGCTGGAAGACACTTTTTTTTTCGGAGCAGCGCCTCAGACATTACATTGGGGCATGTTGGCGATGGCTTGCATAGAGCCTGGAGATCAAGGGATGTGGAAGGCCCCCAAAGAGTATGAGCGGGATGAGATCCACGGCATTAGTACATAGAAATTAAAAAAGCTCGAGCAAATGAATCGACGCGGCGAATGCCAATCATGACAACATTTCTGTTTACTTCCCATCGTCATTTGGTCTGAGTGTGTCTGGCCGTTGGGCTCGTGGCCGGTGTTCGCTGTCTTCTTACGCTAATGTCTCAGTTCACTCGCTGCGATTATTGCTTTTTCACATCTGGGCGCTAGGGATGGCAGCTGTAATCGTCTTTGACCGCCATGGGGGCAATGCTCTCTCTGCTTTGCACAACTGATGTGAGGGTTGCCCGCAGCCGCCCGCCGTCCGATAACCTCCGCGGCCGCAGATATTTTCGTTGATCCGATCATCCGAGTCAAGCAATCCGTCCCCTCCCGCGGGAGGGAGAGGCGTCATGGAGGCGGAGGTGATTACGTGCTCTTCCTGTCCCCGCTCCCCTAGCCCCCGGGACCCGTGAGGCTCTTCTCTTGCGGGAGATGGAGATGGAGATCTGGTTTAGTGCATGTTTTGGGGGGCGTAGTAGGTGAGGTTGGCGGGTGGGGAGTGAGGCTGATTATGAGGCTCGATCTATCTATCTATCGACTATCTATCCTTTTTGGAGTATCCCTGCGGTTGATCACTGGCCGTGCCATTGCCATGGTTTTTTTTAATGCTTAGTGTGATCTCTTTGTTTGGATTTGGATTTGGTGAGTGTTGTTGTGTAGGTTTGCGGTGGTGGTAGGGACGGACCGAGGATTGATGTGGTGGATGGACGGTCAGGGACTTCGTGGCTCGTGTCAGGCTGCATTGATTGACGGGAACTGACTGCCCTGAGAGAAGGGATCCTCCTCCGACGACGACGATCTATTTTGTTTCTGGCGTTTGCTTGGGTTGTGGGCTTTTTGTGGATGATGGGCGGCGGAGGGCGGCCGGAGCTATGCAGGTCTGATGCTTGTTCTATCCCACGATTTTTAATCCTTTCGTTTTTCAGGGTCCTCAAGGGTCCTTTGAGTCTCCTGATGGTGGAGAGAGAAATGTGGCATTGAAGGTTATCTACGACCTATGCCGGGTTTTCTTGAGTCGTCATGCAGGACATCACACACACTATTTGCTCAACTACCGCGGTATGGTTATCTCTGTTTCCTTTTTGTGGGTTGCGGCTTTTTGCTTGTTTCGGTAACTTGGTGGTGTAACTTTCTCGGGCCTGAGTCGATGCTGTTGAGTAAGGTGAGTGGGATTACGAATTGGGTGTGAGAGTTTTGTTGTTTTGGTTGTTTAGAGGGGGGATGGGGAGGGAGACGGCTTGGACAAGGTTGCGGGTTGCGTTTGCGGCATGCCTTTGGACCTTGGGAGTTCGAGATAACCGGGGCAGTGCGGGAGCCAAGGGAGGGGGGGACGCTGAAGCCGGAGGGAGACGTGGAGGTGGGGGAGGGACCACTGGAGAAGGGCGGGGTGAGAGAGAAACAGAGAGCACGGCGTGAGAGTGTTCGGAGACTTTTGCGGTATCGGGTTTTGATAATGCACGATGAGGGCATGATCCCGAACGCCAAAGGGGCGTGGAGAACCCACGCCTTTTTTTTCCTTCTCGTACCTTGCCTGTGTTACGTGTACATACGTTTTGCTTTCCGTCTCAATTCACACAATTTTCCCTGGGCGGTGGCGAAAAGGCAGCAAGAAAAAAGAGGGACTGGCTGCGGTCTGGATTTCTGAGGAGGGGGGTGCCCATGGGGCGGCGGCGGCGGAGAAGGGGACCCTGAGAAACTTGAGAGGCGTGGTGTTTTACATGCATGTTGGTGTAATGTTGCATGTATGTAAGCTGCAGGAAGGGTTCTTGTTATCTTGGTTTTATCTTACGGTCTGCAATCTTTTTTGCCTTGTATTGCGTGCTGGTGCAGCGACGATCTTTTCGTGTGTTCCCTTCGGAGAGAAACGTCGTTTCTGGGAAGTAGGGCGGTACGACTGGAGAGGCGCCGGTTTACCTTGTTTGGTAAAGCGGGGGTCGGGGGGTGTTGATGTAGTACGCAGTACCTGGCGGTGTTCGTGGCCCGTATGCGAGATACGAGGGGAGGTTCGTAGCCCTTCTCGAGAAAGAGAGGTGATTAGCAAAGATGCTGGTGATGTGTGCTGACGCAGACTCGAGGTGAAGGGGATTGTGGATGATGGAAAGTTGTCTGTGATGGAGAGACATTTGGACGTGGGGGCCGGCCCAAGGAGGACGATCTAGCTACACGGAAACGACCAAGATTGCAAGCCACGCAGCTAGGAGTTTAGAGCTCCTGAGCATCAAATTCTCGAGCATCGGGGAAGGGCTAGGAGAGACATGCTCGTATGTCCGAGGAGACGGGGCCAAGGGAGAGAAAATTAGCGCGAGCCGCTGGGCAGCAGAATGGAAGTAATTGACATTATTTCATGGCGAGATACGCAAATGTTTGGGAACTATTGTGGATGGATGGACACAGCTCCTAAGCTGTCAGTGTGTCTACGCCCGTAGCTCCCCGTTGTCGAGGGATTGACCAATCAAGGGCGTCAATTCGGCTGCGTGTCACTGTGCGCCCCCCTCCAGAGTGTTTTCTCGATGCGGATGCGGCTGAGGGATGGTGTGAGGGAGCCGCGTTCCTGGGGTTGCAAAGCGTGGCGGTGATGGTTCTGGATGTGTGTCTTCCCCCCCTTTTCTTTCTTTATTTACGCCTCTCTCTCTCACTCTCTCTCTCCGGGAAAAGAGTTTGGATTCCTTGGTGTGTTTGGGATATTAGATCCCTTGTGTCCCGCGTTTGAAAGGGCACAGGTTCGGCTCTTATCTGTGGAGTCTGTTTCTGGCTGGCCAGGCCCCCCCTTTCCTGCGTATGGTGTAAGTTCCTGGGGGCCGTGGGATGTGAGACTTTTTGACAGTTGAGGCGCAATGGTGGCGGGTGTCCTTCGGAGAGAAGCGTGCGGAGGGTGCTTGGAGTGGGTTGTTTTGTGTGATTTGAGGGAGACTCCTTGGGGATGGATTCGTCATTGAAGATGTCAAGTCTTATGTGACGTCGAGGTTCATGTTCTCCTCGTGGATGCAGTGTTTCTACGCTAGCCATGACACACGAAGTCACCTAGGGCATGGAATTACCGATCTTCGGCTGGTTCCTGGGTAGTTTCTTCAGAGCGCATACGATTTTGGATATTACCTTGAGGGATGAGCAAACTCATGTGAGTCAGGACGTCGTCATAAGAGCCTTAAGCCAGGACTTAAGAAACCGAGTATCAGAAACCGCTGGGTTTCACGCAAGGAGCTGGTTTTCGTGCTATCAAGATGAATCGCTATCTTTGCCAACACCACACTCTCCGCCCGTCACAAGACGACCCTTGCCTGCTCCTGCAAATGTGATCACTTTGCAACACTCCCTCATTTCTTCTCGAACAGATGCTCAAATTATTGCAAAACTGTTGTATAATATTGTATCGACCGTTTCTGGGTGAAGTTCGCTTCCCTGATAGTAAGAATAGAGTGTCGGTGACTGCCTGGCCTGGCTGCAGTGTCGGTTTGACGCTTCGCATTGCTCATCACGACCTCTCTCATGTGAAGGGTGAGTTCGGCTTCGAATAGGAAGTCCTGAAGGGTGCTATCCAAGAAGCAGCGCTGGATGACTTGAATCTGTACCTCCTCGGGGTCCTTGGCCATATCACTGATGAAGTGAACGAGTCTCTTCGCAGTGGATGCGGCGACCCGCTGATCTCTCAGATCTGCTCTCTTGCTCTCTCTGGATTGCTTCTCCTCTTCGCTGTCCAGGGCATCGGACTGGCTTCCTCGATTTGTTCCCTTGGTTATCGCGTCTTCCCTGGGCTTGGCGACCGTTGTTCTGTCGGTGGTTGCGCTGAGGGTTTCGACGGCGCTCTCGAGGGTTTGTGGCGTGGGCTTGACTGCGTCGGGTGTGCCTTTGCCATTGGCTTTGAGCATCCCAGTAACTCCGTTGGCGGCGGTAAAACTCTTCATCGCAGAAAGATTGGCTAGACACTGGTTTCGGGCCTGTTCGAACGCATCTTCAACGATGCTCTTGAACTCGTAGCCGTTCTCATCGGTTGACTGGTCGTGACGCTTAAGCGGTAGGTTAAGGTTAGAGAGCAGGCTTATGATCATGCTTCAACCGAGCTCGAATCTCTCCGGATCTTCGTGAATGATTCTTAATGTGGCACTGAGAATGTCGGGAATGATGTGTGGGGTGAAAGTCTTGTCAAGGCCGGGGTTGAGAATCTACGTTAATTGTTAGACAATGGTAGCATAAATGAGACGCCAACTTACGTAGAACTCTTCTAGGGCTTTCTCTGCTTCGTTGGGAGTGAATTCATGCTGTTCGATGAGAAGTCGCAGCTGGTCAGTCGAGCGATTCAAGTTGGTAGTAGACATGTTGGGGCTGTACGAGCTCCCTGGAGCTTGAAGCTTGCCGTTCTTCGTTATCCTTGGCAGAGTTCCATCTCAAGGCTTCTGGATTTGAGTTCTGCACTCCTCCGCACAGCTGCCGACAAATTTGGTTCCATGTCTTCCTCCGCTCTTTCAGCTTCCCGATGTCATTTGCCACGTCCTGGCATTCTCTGAAGAAGAAGATCTGATCTGTGCTCCCGTCAATTTGGACGGCCGAACACAAGCCAGTGTCCGCGTCTGGGTACGCTAAAGCGTGATACTTGATGTTACTGAATCCGCGACCGAGCTGCAAGATAAACCTCAGGGCCTTCGTGGTGGGCGCTATGGCTCTCGCAGCTGCGATTTGAGAATCTGCGCCATCTCCCTCGCACAGCCTTTTGACCGAAAGGCCCTTGTGCACCTTGTGGTTGAACTGGAGGTCCTCGAGCGGGAGGTACCAGCCAACCCAAACTCCACGACACTCGAGACTGCCGCCCTGTCCGACCTCCTGAGCCGTAGGTTCATCTGGGGCAGTGATTCTCTTCTTTGAGTTGTCGTTCTTCAAGTCGGTTTTGAGCATTGTCTGGGTACGTTCGTCAGCTTGATATGCGAGAATTGAAGCTTCAGATTCTTTGGTCGAGAATCTCCTAGCCCATCGTCGTAGGCATGGAGTCCCGTAGAGCAACACAGATCCCGGGAGAGAGGGATATCAACGTCCATGGTGTTTTGGATCGTCGGCGAGAATCGGGAATGTTTGGGGGCTCGACGGGGCGGGATTCACTGCGGAATTCGAGTCTATGAATGTCGTGATGACTCTAGAAGGGCGTGATACCTTCAGAAAAGATATAGATAGTTGACGTTTACTGTGGGATGAATAGAAGAGAAAGTGTAGTCATGAATTAATCGATGCGTTAGCTTTGATACCCTCGCGCAAGGCCTCTGGCCGTTCAGTCATTTTTACCTGCTTAGAGCGACAGACCTCTTGACTTCGCGCCTCCTGAACTTTATGCGGTGATGTTCAGAGGGTTTACTTGCTAGCAGGAACGTGTGGGGTTTCTGTACTGTTTTCCTTGGCCGGTAGAGGGCAAAAGTACCTATAGTGTTTCCAGAATTGTGCCCGCGAACAGGGTGAATTTGGCCGTAGTCTTTTCCCCCGTGTAAATGCTCGTCGGGTGTGCAGATAAATCAACATTGAGGATGTCAAGTCTATTGGATATGAAGGCTAGTTTATTATTAAATAGATGTAGTATTTCTAAAATAGATATAACACACGAAATCAGCTAAGGCACAGAAATATTGATCTTCGGCTGAATTCTAGGTTGTTTCTTTTTAAGAGCCTCGTTTAGGTGGGCTTTTACAGTGAAATACAGGTAAATCCCGTGTTCCTGTAAACCAGAACTTGGGCATTAGAACATGACATTGGACCAGGATTTGACAGAGCTTGCGAGTATAAGACCGCGTTGGAGATGCATATAGCTAGTCCTGTGCTATTAAGACGAATCGCTGTAAGGAAACTGGTCTGCTAAGAGTAACTCAGCCTACTTTGTAAACTCAATCCTCGGCTTCCCTCCGGCGTCAATTCCCCTGTAGGCTTCTTCACCAAACCTCTCTGTTCGTGATCGATTGATTTCTTCTCACTTTGTGTGTATGAATATAGAGCTCAACTGTCGTGTAAGAGTTCTTCTGCATCTCAGCGTATGAGATGTTTTCCGTTGCATCGAAACGCTGATGGCGGGCTGAGTTTTTCGATATGCTCAAATGTGTAACAAACATCAAGCATTTGGGCAGCCGGCTCAAAGGTCCTCCAAGTCACTCTCAGTGCCCTGGAACCATTCGATGATACGAAAAAATGCCAGAATCGTGTCCTGAGCATGCAGGGGAAAGCCATGTTGGAGATTCTGCATCAAACGCTCGTCGGACAGGAGAGCCATCCGTCTAATGAACTTCATGATCTGGGTGATGTTGTCGGTGTCAGGAGGCACTTCCGCCTTGTCTTCTCTTTTGGTTCTCTTGCGTCCGTTTGTTGACTCCTCCCGGTTGCTATCCAGCTCGTCGGCATCGCCTCTGCGGCGCTTCTTCTCGTCATCAACCTCGCGCTGTTCCGACCGGTGCTCGTTCTTTGACTCCTCCGTGTTTCGACTCTCCTTCCTATGACTCCAGTGCTTCTTGCTGGTATGATCCTGCTGTTGGCTTCTCGCTCTCTTCAGGTTCCGAGTCTCAACCTTTGGCGATTCATCACTGACCACGCCCCTAGACCTGTCTTTCTTGACATCCATGCACCCTTCTTCCTTCTCAACGTCTGTGGGTTTCATACCGCTCTCATCCGTAGAGCATCCTCCATCATAGTTGCGGTTGCCGGAGTCCGCAGAAGGTGGCTCGCTGAAATCACGAACGTTGTAGCTGCGAATGTTTGTGTCGCTCTTCTCCGTCACTCGAAGCTTTTTGATCCTCTGCTCTCTCTTGTCTTTTCGAGACTCATTGTCTCGTTCGGCGTGTTTGTCGGAAGATGCGTAACTGGAGCTACGTGGGTTCTCCAGGCTTTTCTCCAGACTCTTCCCCAAGCTGATCTCCAGCTCCTCGCACGAACCCATGATCTTGGTATTCAACTGCAGCTCATTGAGGACATCCCTCGTCACCTTAGTGTCTCCGCCCTCCTCGCGTTGCTTTCTGGCTTCCTAGCGGCTATCGTTGCTTGATGAGCACTTCGCTCCGTTCTCAGCAGCCTTTCCAATCTGAAACTGTGTGCAACTGGTGATACTTTTGAAAGCTGCCACCCCAATAGCCAAGGCGTGGGTACTTGGGAGGTATTGTAGTCGAAGAGGAGAGAAAGTTAGTCAACAGAGCGGTAGATACGAGGAATATTTATACACTAATGGATTCTAGCTGGATATGTCGAAGGTCTTTGCTATACAGGAATACATGCAGTTGATCACATTAAGCTAGATAGACTTAAATGTTGAAGTTGCAAAGGATTTTACTCAGACATGCATCTTTGACCATGTTAGTACTTGACGCTATCCTTGGTTTCTCTCTTGCTGAAGCAAGCCTTTAACTCAAACTTCGTTTCTAGGGTGAAGTTTCATGACTGTTGTCGTTTTCCCATCCTGTTCCCTCCCCCACTTGACCCTATCATGTTGTCTCGGATCCCAGGACGACCATCGCAGTTGCGGTCTTGACGATGTAGACCCAATAGTCTCGGGTATGATTTTCATATCGGAAGAAAGCTGGACGTCGTAACCTCAGAAAAGACTGAGATACTGCCAGTTCGGGAGACTGGAGACTTGAGAAGCAAGCTGTGTACGACCTTTTGGTCTGCGACATATGCTCGACAAAAACCTTTCCCAAAACCTTTACCGTTCTCTAAAGACTCTGATTATATTCTGATTTTTGTTCTACTCTTGTAATTGTATTAGAAATCTGTATAGATAACAGCGGTGAAGAGATGTGCGAAAATATAGCCTGCGACTCTTTGTTCGTCGGTATTTACGATATGAAACCCTCCTCTTGCGCTTTTCTCCACCTCACATCACGGCTTCGAAACCGTGGCACGTCACACTAACACTAATGAACATTCATCCAGTGAATGAGATTATAATAGGTACGGTAGCAGGTGTTGTGAGCAAGGTACTCAGATGGGGACCTGGGTCGGCACAATGTTAGAGTCGCTCATTGACTGGCAGTACAACAATGCATATCACAAGATTGACGAGCACGTGCTATTGCACGTTAGAGTTGTTTCCATTGGCCTTCGGCATCCGTGGGTCGTGAGATTGACACCCGGGTACACGTATGGAATGATGGATACAGAAACAAGGTAAAGTCGAGCCTCGACCCTACTGGCATCCTCGTCCGTTAATTTCTCAAAGATGACTCGAACAGCGATCTGGAAACGTCAGAATGTCAGGGCGGGAGCTTCCTATAGGCAAATTGACAACTCATAGATGACGTTAGAAGAGTCCCCATTATTGTAAACTGTAGAATACAGAGATATCTGGCCTAGTCTATGTGGCTAGTCTCTGTGCTGTCCATTTCTGTGCCATCAATCGCTGTGCAATTCTGCTCTGCTGGAACCTCGTCCTCCGCTGGTCATCGAATGACCCTCCCTGTGATTACTTTGTGACCAATTCATTGGCTCTCCGTTTGATGCTGAAAATGCTGCAAAAACGTCTCCCATAAGAAAAGTTGCGCAGCTGTTGTGTGTGAGATTCTGATAATCGTAAGAATGCTGAAAGAAAGAATAGAACGTCGGAAAGTGCCGACTGGTTGACAGAAATGAGACGATGTAGCAGATGGTTGGCTTATCTCTTCGCCGCTGTGATGGCCATGTTCTGGAAGGACTCAACCATATCCATCCATCCTACCATCATCTTCTTCCCAATAGGATGAATCCATTTGAAGCTCTCGATCTGGCGCTTGGTGGACAGCTGAGACATCCTCCGGAAGAACCTGACCAGCTTCAGATCCTCCTCGTCGAAAGCAGAGACGTAGCCGCCAGCATGATGTCTCGATCTCTTTGTCTTGCTGAAGGAGTTCTCCTGATCGCTTTCCAAATCCTCAGACTCGTCTCTGCGTCGCTTCTTCGCACCATCGCTCTTTTGCCTCTGGTCAGCGTCCTGGTGGGCTGGGATAGCTGTAGCTGTCCTTTGGATTTCAACCTCTGATGAGTTGTCGCTGTCCGCCTCGGAAATGGCGTCACTATCGGACTCGCCCTCTTCTCCGTTCTCCCCAGGCTCGCTGTCATCCTCAGACTCGCTCTTCTCCTCAGGCTCGCTCTTCTCCTCAGGCTCGCTGTCGTCCTCAGGTTCGCTGCTATCCTTAGCCTTATCTGAAGATGTATTACCGGAGTTGCGTAGCCTCTCCAGTCTCTTCTCCAGCACTTTGATCAAGCGCTCATGAATGACTAAGAGCCTGTAATCGTCTCCAAGCGAGTCGAGGTCTACTTCGATGTCCTCTTTGATGCTCTCGTGAGAGTCGTGGACCTCTTTGAGATGTGTTTTGACAATTTGACGGCGCTCTTCGATACTGGCCATGTTTGCGTCGGCAGTAGGCATCATTGGGTCTTGTTCTTGGTAGTTCTGAATACCCCGATCCTTGATATTCTAAGGTTCGTTCTTGTTCCTCCGTGTTCTTGCTCAGATGGTGCGCAAGCTAGTTGTTCTCAACTTTCCCCCACCAGTCTCGTAGACCTCTGATGCTCAAGTGCGTACGTCTTTGAAAGGCGTGATGCCTTCAAAATTGGTGCAGGTCGTTGACGAACGTTGTGGGATGAATAGAAGAGAAAGTTGTTTCACGACGTGGCCGCCAAAACAATGGATTTTATACCTGCGAAAACGCTGCGTTTAGGTTATTTTCGTAGAGGGAAAGAGCAAGGAACAAGGCAAGGAAAGTACAGTTTTCAAGCTAGTCAGGCAGGAGCGAAGGAAACGTGAGAAAGGTGAGGTTGATCCTGCCTCGACACTTGTACCTGGTGAAGTAGTATGGTATGTATCTCTCCTAGACTGACAGCCGGCTCTCTAACCCAGTTTTCCTATATTTGTTCAACAAGACGCACCCTGGCTTGATCACCCCGAACGGGATCTCCCTCATGCCTATGACTATCCCCCGGGTCGACAATACAGCTGGTTGTCAATCAGCTTCGCAAGGTGAAGTTGGCAACGAAACGGCCTCCTCGACTTGTTAAGCGCCAAATACACGAAGACTCCGGCCTTCTTCTCTAGTCAGACACGAACTCACGTGGCAAGATACGAGAAGATGTATTGCTGGTGGTGTTCCTTTTGCTTGTTTTCCTCGGCGCATGCCCTCGCAATTGGTCTCCGGGTACTAGCCAAAGGGAGTCAGGCCTCACGCAGCCAAATGTCCGAGACGGGCCAAATGACGGCCCGAAGGCCCGTTGCCCCGGGTTTTGAGGTGTCGGTGGCGGCGTGGTGCTGTGGGGCGGCAGCACCGAGATAGGGGCCCGCCGGCCCAGACACCGGTGGCAGTGGTTGTCGGGAAGGAGAGGAAGAAGTAGTCTTTTATGTAGTTCTGTACTGTTGAGTACGGGGGTCACGGTCTCATCGATCTCATGTTTTTGTGGCACTTGCTTAGGCGTGGGATTGAAGGCTGTTGACTGTGGCGATCATGGCTGACTCCTGGGAGAATGTGTCATCATTGAAATTTTATGTGCGGGTTATCCGAACTTATCGCATAGTCTCTATTAGCTTGTCCTTGGTGTTCTGGAACAACATGTTGCTTGGGGTTGACTTGTGTAAACGAGGACACCGTCATGTGGAGGGGCGACGGTGCACGACGGACGACGGACGACGATGACGACGACGACAACAACAACAACAACAACAACAGCGAAAGCGACAGCACTAATGGACAATAAAGACAGCAACAACAAGAGACATCCAAGACAACAGCGACGACGACGAAGACAACAGCGACGACGGCAGAAACGTCGGCAGAAACAAGACGAAAAACATCAAACATCGGGTATGATTCTCGAAACATCGCCGCTGACCTCAATTTCGATCTCAAGCATTCTCAAACAATGAGTACGCCACAGTCTCTTTCAGCGATGCGCAATCCAAGACCGATAAGCACACCTGGCTGTTCTCGAGATATCACGAGCGGCCAAATGCGGCTTCCCACCATCAAGCTCCGTGAATCTCAATGATGATCATCGGTCGCTTGTCCGGCCAAACCTACGTGATCACTTGTTCCATCGACAAGGTAGCTAATTTCGATATTTCTCTTGAAATCCATCGAGTTCGACGCTCGTATAGAATTGTTGTGTCCCGTCGGCGCCTGGCCAAAGAGGTTCTGTATGCGGTCAATTTCTGACTTCAGTCAAGCCACGACCTTCTCAGCCACCCCACCACTTCTTCCCTTGACCAAACGCCATCACGGTGAGCTCGGTGAAGAAGGCGGCTGTCAAATATCGAATCTTCCTCTCAAGGGATGCTTAATTGCAATAACCATTCATGCCCTTCACCTGGCGCATCCAATATTCTTCCTGAGCCATTTCTCCATAGACCTCAATGGAACAGCCTGTTTGCAAGGTGCCGAAGACAATCAGTGGACGTGAAAACACGCTCGAGCCAATGAAGTACCCCTCTTGAGCCATACCCTGTCAGGAATGTGGAAAGTTTAGGTAACACGACCGGAACATGCCCGAGCCCCAAGACAGCCGCATGAACACAAAACACTTTGATTGGATGTTTCTAGGGCTCATTTCCTTTTGTTCCCACTCGGTGGAAAGACTCTCCGGGTCTGGGCTGAGTCAGTTCGTCCCAAATTCTGCCACACGAGTGATCTGTCCCCCGCGACACCGCCCACCACAACTCTATATAATGAGCGTCTGTCTCCGCGTCTTCCTCTTCTTTTTCTTTTCTTCTCTAGCTCTCTTTGGTCAGTTTTGCCTTGATCCTAAAATTTGGACTTCATTTGCTAACCCCTTTGCAGCCTTTTGGCTTAGATCAAGTGTAGTATCTGTTCTTTTCAGTTTAATCTCTGAAAGGTCTCTAAGGAGACCAATCGTGATTATTCTTATTTTTGGCTTTAGGGAAGAGTCCTCTGTGCTTGCACATGACTCATCCCACAGTGT